CGGAAAACACATATATAATTACAGTGGTTCTCAACCTTCCTAATGCCGCGACCCTTCAATACAGTTCCTCATGTTGTGGTGACCCCAACCACAAAATTATTTTCGTTGCTACTTCATAACTGTAATTTTGTTCATAACTGTTATGAATCGTAATGTAAATATCTGATATGCAGGATGTATTTTCATTGTTATAAATTGAACATAATTAAAGCATAGTGATTAATCACAAAACAATATGTAATTATATATGCGTTTTCCAATGGTCTTAGGCGACCCCTGTGAAAGGGTCATTCGATTCCCAAAGGGGTCGCGACCCACAGGTTGGCGACCCACAAATTGAGAACCACTGCTTAATGGGATTGGGAACATCACTGGCTATAATTGCAGACAATTGATTTCAACAAGGACATTGGAATCACTTTAATTGGCTTCTTTTCCTGTTCTCTCCAGAGACTACTACAAATGACCACCATTCTCTTTTGAGGCTATAACTTCCAAACTCTGAGCATAAGGGGCTTCTGTCATATTTTATGTTAAAAACAAACAAATAAACAAATAAATAAGTAAAATGAATATACAGTATATAGTAAACAGGCATGAACTGACTCGACATACTTCATCTATCCCACCAGACTCAGTCATATCCTTATACTCTTCCCTATGCTCAAGACAGGCCTCTCCGCCCCAGGCCTTGCTCCCCTGCTTCCTTTCTTGGGACACTGACAGAGCAATTATCCTGAACATCTGTTTAAATCTGTCTCTCCTTTTCTCTGAAATCTCTTTAGACACTGGATTCCTTTCAAGCCACTAGAGGTAATATCCCCACTTTCCTACGTTGAACCCCTCCTCCTAGCCGAGGAGTCACAAAACTATCTCCACTCCTTGAGTTCTGGGCACTCCTGGATCCCTAGTCCCTGGCTTCTTTCCTACTAGCCCACAAACATTACTGGAGTCTCAGTGTGCATCACCCTTCTTGCCATGTCTTGATGCAGACATATCCTAAACAGATCCAAAACCTGTGCTCTTCATAGCTACATTGATTCTTCCTATTGGAAATCCTTTTTCCTTGAAACACTGCTTTCCACAAACTTGCCTTCTTGTTTTCATTGGGTTTTTGGTTTTATTGTTTTGTTCTAGTTTAAAACACAAAGAGACAATGGATTACACAGTGTTGGAACATGTCCTCAATGGTACACCTCTGACATGCACACCAGCCCGTTTCCTGTCCATGAGGCTTTGCTCTCTCGTGCATCTTTGTATTTCCAAGTGTTTCCCTAGTCAATATCCGTAACCATACTCATTAAAGTAATCTGAATAGTACATATGTATTTCTATTTCCCTCTTTAGACTATAAATTACTTGAAAAGAGGCAATTACTTGTCTTAATTGTCTAAGACATCACCTGAAACACTGATGCTCAATAAAATTTGATAAACCCAAACAGCCAAGCTCCATTAAAGAAAGCAGTCACCTAAGCTGGTTATGACTAAATGGAATGCTCAACGTGGGTGAGTTATTCCATACATCATCTCAAGAACTTAAGACTTCCATAATTACTTAGAGGAATTACAATTCTATCCTCACAGTTTTCCTTCCCAAGTAAACAGGTAAGCATTTTTAAATTACCTTTTAGATATGTGGGTTGTTAAAGAAAGAGAAAAGCTTTAAAAAACATTTTAAAAGGTGTAATTTCACCTTGAAAGCTGCTTCTTATTTGCTGATTTTTCAGGAGTCCTAGGCAACTTCATCTGTTTCTGGGGGGTGTACAAAATGCTGTCTGTAGGTTTCACCCTTGGGATTACCCGTCTCTCCATGACTTTTTCTCCATCTGATCCAAACTCCACGGGGTGTTTGCGAGAGGATTCGGACTCATTGAAGAAGCCATTCTCTGAGTTATCTTTGCTTTCACTATCTGATGAATACTCCAAAATTTCTGTAGAACTTGTCTAAAAAAATTAAGAAATATGCAATTAAATTTGAAGAATTCTTTATTCAAGTACTTATTTATACATGTCTATTATTCTATTCCCTTATAATTATAATTAGTAAATAACTTTAAACATACAGTATCTTAAACTTTGTACATACAGTAGCTTAAACTTCTATTTTGACATGAAATCCAAAGTATCAGGCCATATAACCAAAGTCAAGATGGGATTAAACCAACTGTAAACAAGATATTCTCTCATAGAATCCACCAAATTAGGTAAAAATATTCAAACTTCCTTCAGTAGACTAACAGAAATGTGCCAGATACAGTGGGGCCTTGACTTACGAGTGTCCCGACTAACGAGTTTTTTGAGATACCAGCTGTCTCTCAGCCGATTTTTTTGCATTGAGTTGATAGAGTAATTTGAGTTAACGAGCTCCTTAACGAGCTCCTTAACGAGCTCGGTCTTGGAACGAATTAAACTCATAAGTCAAGGCCTCACTGTAGTCAGTTTTGAAAACTGAACTAGTAACACCAACCTAAATGGCTGATGAAAGTCACTACAACCTAACACCTATTGGAAAACAGGTAAATTTTTTTGGATTTTGAAATTTAATGTGAGGTAAATAATATTCAATATTTCTTATGAACCAAAGAAAATTGCTTCTTCATGTGTAAACTACTTAATTTACCAAAAGAGTCTCCAAGGGTAAAGATGAAAACTAGATTTTCCAGCACAAATTCAATATAATATTTTCCAGAGACTAGTTTTAAATTGCTAATATCATCAGGAACTACATAAGAATATTAAGTCACTGCCTCTTTTTCATAACATTTCCTAAAATATTTCTTCTTCCCCCGACTCAAATTTCTAAACTACCAAAATAATATTTTGAAAACTGGATTACAAATAGAAACTCACATCACATAGCCTAACTGGAGAGGGAAATCAAAACTTTCTTCTGTGATGTTCTCTGTCTTTGCCCACTTAAATTCTTAAATCTGGTATGAATTTTATTTTCCCATCACTTGGTTTTGCAAGTCAGTCCCATGTTGTTCTACTGCCAGCAACAATTCATCCTTCAACACTAATTTTTCAGTATATTAGTAGCCCCTTTTAATTTAATACCTATACATTTTAAATTTACTAAATGTAAATTGTATATTTAGTTAAATGGATCTTCTGTGCCAATATAATTTCATAGTGTAGTATGGGTCCCTCAGGAAGAGCTCTATTTTGATGGATCAACATGGATTGTGTCACTGGCACTGAAATAGGCACCTGGCTAAAGAGAGTGAAGAGGCCACGGTACATGTAAGGATTATCTGTGGGTATATGTGTACGCATGTGCATTGGTGCGTGGAGGGTAGCACTAGAATTTTCACCATTTGCTAATCTACATAAGACAGAAGGTTTATCACATTTGGCCTTTTAGAGGATTTTATAGTTACATCTTTTGTAAGAGCTAAAAAGGATATCACCAATCCCCATATCTCTTTCAAAAAACTGCTTAGGTAGTCACCTGTTACTAGGAACATTTAAAAGAAGAAAAAGTAAGTAAAAAAACCTCAAATTAATAGCTTAGTTCCTCTACCCTTTTCACAATCTCAGTTACATGCCTAAATTACTGTAGGCAGCTGCTAATCCATAAATAAGCCCTGTGGTCACATGTTTCCCCTATAACACAGCTTCTCAATAAAAATTAACAATAAGCCATAAAAAAAGAATAATTTTGTTTGAAAATTAAGATCCTTGACACTAAAAACTTTATACATTACTTGATAACTCCAAATTTAAATTCATCTTCTTGTTCTGAAATGTCTTTTCATTTAGTTCCCTAAAGTTTTGCATTTCATCCTAGAACAGCGTTTCACAACCTCAGCACTGTTGCCATTTTTCTGAATAAGTGTGGGCTTCCTGTACAGGGGCACTGACAAGTGGGTGAACCCCCACAAACTCTAAGCACTGGGCCCCTCCACACTCCATGTCTCTGCCCTTCCCACTTTCCAACCCCCTAATCCCACATCAGGAGAACTTCAGGACCATAGGCCACAGCCTCACATTCCTGGCCTCAGGCCCAGCTACATTCCTCGATCCCCAACACTGGACACTCACGCTGTGACCATCCCCAGCTGCCACTGACCCTACCTGAGCCAGCTTCTATCTATGGGACTGAGCCCCAGTGGAAGGAAGAAGAGTGGTCCTTCCACTCTTCCCAGGCTCCTCAGCCTAGGACAGGAGTTAGGGACAATGGGAAGGATTAGTGGGTGGGCCTCAGTGAGCCCGGCTTCTGGCTGAGTGGTGCTCCCACTGTGGGATCAGGCCAAAATCAGCTCTCTAACATCCCCTGAGGGGTCCCAGATTGCAAGAGGGCGTAGGCCAGGCCGAGGGACTCCACTAGTGCACAATTGGGGTCAGGGAGGGATGCGGGAGGTTGGCCAGCCAGAAAGGGACCGTGGGAGGTCTCCAGGGTATGTCTGGCCTGTCTCACTCAGTCCCGATTGGCCAGACCCCAGCAGCAAGCTACCCTACCAGTCAGAGTCTCCCCCCCTGGTGGTCAGTGCACGTCATTGCGACTGGTCGACCAGCCAACTGTCTGCCCCCTTGTGGTCAGTGCACATCATGGCGAGCGGTTGAGCGGCCTTAGCATATCATTAGCATATTATACTTTGATTGGTTGAATGGAAGACTGGACACATAGCGTATTAGGCTTTTATTATATAGGACTGGTGGCCCGGTGCATGAAATTCGTGCACGGGGTGGGGGGGGGGGGAGTGTGTCCCTCAGCCTAGCCTGCACCCTCTCCAATCAGGGACCCCATGGGAGATGTCCAACCGCCTGTTTAGGCCCGATCCCACAGGTGGTCGGACATCCCCCTCGCAATCTGGGACCCTGCTGCTCCTAACCGCTCACCTGCCTGCCTACCTGATTGCCCCTAACCCCTCTGCCTGCCTGCTTGATCGCCCCTAACTGGCTTTGCCTGCCTGCCTGATCACCCCTAACTGCCCTCCCCTGCCAGCTAATAGCCCCTAACGGTCTCTGCCTTGGCCCCCACCATTATGGCTTTGTCCGGAAGGAAGTCAGACATCTGAAGATGGCCTGTCAACCCAGTCTAATTAGCATATTACCCTTTTAGTAGTATAGGCAGATTATATAGGATAGGATTGCTTAAATGGGGGTGGGGGGGAAGCCTTTTTCATCAGGAGATGCTCTTGGCAGACAAAAATACATAATCCCTACATCTGGACTGATAGCCAGCCCTATGCACTATACTGCCAAACTGGTTATTAAAAAATTGAACCACTTTCTTTCACCTTACATCAAACAGCTGTTGCCCTTAAAACCCCTCCTCAGCCCCCACCTTAGGTTCTGCCTTTGCAGTTCACCTAGATTAGGTTCTGATTGGTCAGTTTCTATGCCAATCAGCATCAAAAGCTCTGCCTCCTAGGCAGCCATTGGCTCCTCACATTTCACCCAGATTTGGTTCTGATTGTTTGGTTTCTATGCCAGTCAGCATCTCCAGGCCTATCAATGGGCTTGATCAGAGAGGCGGGCTGATCAGCAGCCCCAGTGGAGGCCTGAGAGAAAGAGAGGCCTTGGCTGCTAGCCAGGCCCCGAGAGAAAGAGAGAGGCAAGGGCTGATCAACAGCTGCCATGAAGGCTACGGATCAGACCCTGCTTCTCTCTCCAGGCCTCTCTTTGGGCCTGATCCACAGCCCCCTCAGCAGTCAATGCTGGGTCGCCATGGCAACCCAGCACTGACTGCAGGACTGACTTCTGGTTGGTCGAGCCTTTGGTCACTTTGGATGTTACGGATCCTAGGTTTTTATATATTAGGATTCCTCAGAATACACTAGCACAAATCCAGTAAATTTCCTCTTCCTCTTAAACTAGATAGATTTTTCTGTTACTTGCAATCAAGAGGCTTAACTATCTGCTAAATATTTTCAAATAGGGAAAATGTTCCATGAAACAAATATTAATACAGTATGCACTAAGTATAAGGCTAATGCAAGATAGAAAATTTAATGAGACACAGTTCCATAAAGAGCTTGAAATCAAATAAAGGAGATATTATAAATATGGCTCACACTAATGTTTTGAATGGGCAAACAATGAAGCTTTTATTTCTGACTAATATGAAATTAGCAGACACAACTGGAAGAAATAAAACCTCTACTGAGTTTCAAAGGGTTGGAAAATTCTTAACAGATGAAGATGAGAACAGAGAGAACAAAGCATATAAGGCAGGAAAGTACAGTGGATACTTGAGATACACAGACAAATCCAGACAAATGAAAGTTTAGAGTTTACAGGAAGCAAGAGACAATAATACAAACACTATAGGGTGGGGCAAAAGAGGTTTACAGTTGTTCCTGTGGAAAATAATACAATAATTCATAAATAATAATACAAGAATAAACTCTGTTTTGCATACCCACAACTGTAAACTTACTTTGCCACACCCTGTAATCCTCCAGATCAGGGCAGAGAGAGCACACACGTTCTCTTACATTAAGAAAAATCATCACACCCATCAAAAATGGGGAATTTATTGTCCAGGAAAGAATTTTGTAAGTAAATAAAGCATTTAAATAATTAAAGAGCTACCCCTGAACTGCAGTGTCCCATTTCCTGTAAATCAAATCTTAACCTAATTCCATGTATGAAAGTTTATATGTGCAGAGTCCTCTTAGATAAAAACTGTGTCTACTAACAAAGTAAAAAACCAGTCAGTCTAACTGCAATGCCTCTGTGGTAAAGCTACCTCCATAACAATTGAAACAAATTAGCCAGATGAATCACTGCTCTCTCAGAAATTACAGCTTTTCATTCTAAAATTTATAAATAAGTCACACAAAGAGCAACAGTGGAGTATCAGTAATAAATGATCACTTCCTTATTTTTAAATGACACCTTTGTAGCTAAATACTTTTTTACCCAGCTGGTAAAAAAAAGTAACTAAACTAAAATTATTCCTTGAAATAACCAATTATAAAACAAAGAACAGCTCA